TATATATATATATATATATATATATATATAATAACATAATAAAGTATTTTTCAAACAACGATGTCCCTAAATGTGCCCAAAAGAAGGTTTTGTCATATTCAGCCAACTTATGGTGGCAAAATATAGTCAAGTAAACCCAAACACACTGTGTGGAATTGTGGAGTGGTCCCATTTCAAATCCTACATATAAACGGATCATTTTGGTTTCCTAATGGCAGCGCTCACTGTAGTGTGGTTTATAGAGAAATGCCTAGTCAAATACACTGCTACTAGACAGTCTTCTTCAAGATTTCCTCATGAATAAATAGTAATTTCCTTGAAAATGGAAAAATAATTGGCATTTGCCTTCATTTTACAGTGGTCTGCTTTTACTTCTCCTGGATTGTCTGTGTGTGTGTGTGTGTGTGTGTGTGTGTGTGTGTGTGTTTTGTATTCATACTTGCCATTTTACAACATCTTTTTCATTTGGCCTTGAATAGTAAACGTGGCACAGCTGCAGCTCTTTCAAAAAACCCAATAAGGATGCAGACCAAAATGTTTTCACTGGCACATCAACTCTATTTTCTCAAACACAGTTTTGGCTAGGAACTGATTAGCAGTAAATGAGCTGTTTGAGATCTGCCAGAATTTTCAGCACTATTCAGCACTGTAACAGCTGAAATGGCTCAAGTGCTCTCTCTGAAATCAAATCTGATAGCCTAGTATTTATGTGACTCATACATTCGGATAAAGTAGCCATTTTTGGTGTGATTTCCAGGCACAGCAAACCAATCTTGTGCAAGTAGCAAGGAGCCTAGGCCGAGCTGTTCCTTTGTCCCCTCAGCTAATTTTCACCCCAACTGCCTCAATCACTGCAGTTCAGCCGGAGACCTCTGCATTGTCAATCAACACGCCACCCACCAGCGGACAGGTTACCCTGACATACACCAGCCTGACTTACATCTATATCAATATATGCTGTTTTTTGGACACCCAACCAAAGTCACTTCTGTCTTTCTCTGCTTAGATACAAAACTTGGCTCTTCGTGGCCAGCAGGGTGCGCTGACTTCCTCCCTCTCTCAGTCTCAGTTACAGAGCCTGAGTGTGAAACAGTCCCCCGGGTTATCAGCACATCAGCACACTGCTGCAAAGGGCAGTCCTGCAGAAATGTCCTCAGATACTGTGGGAAAAAATGACAAAACCAGTGACCTCACAACAAGGGAACTTAACGTGTGTCCCAATGTGACCTCGGTGGCGAGCCATCCTCTCATCAGCACAGGTGAGCCATCACTGCCCGGGTGCTGTCTTAACGTGCATGCAGCAGGGGCGGATCTAGTGAAAGTGTAGTGTCTCAATTGTCTTCCTAATGGAGGAGTGAAAGCAACAAGAAAAGCTTGAGTGTGAGGGACATCTGGCCTTGAGCATTAAACGGGGTGTCGGGTTGCTGTGCCAGTGGTCTTGAGGAGCACACTGGGCGGCAGTGTTTCACAATAACACACCTGCTATGTGTGTATTTGTGGCTGGTGGGATTCTCTATTTGGTCTATTTGGTGGCATATCAGTTACCATCTGATATTAGAGATTTTTTTTTATTTAATTACATTTTACATTTACATTTAGATGACAATTGTTTGCTGTCATCTAACACTTAAAGTTAATCTTCTAAAACACTAATAATTTATATCAGGTTATATCAGTTATATCAGAATATCAGTGTAATGAGGGGTCGAATGAAAGTGAGATGAGGCGGATCCACATGCAAGCAGGGTTTAATGATTAAATAAAACAAACACAAGTAAATCAGGAACACAGAACAGGAACAAAGACCAGGGAACCAAGACATGAGCATCTACGGCAGGGGTCTCCAAACTCGGTCCTGGAGGGCCACTGTCCTGCAGAGTTTAGCTCCAACCCTGATTAAACACACCTGAACTGGCTAATCAAGGTCTTACGAGGCATAGAAACATCCAGGCAGGCACGTTGAGGCAAGTTGGAGCTAAACTCTGCAGGACACCGGCCCTCCAGGACTGAGTTTGGAGACCCCTGATCTACGGGAAAGCAACAACGACTGACACTGAACAAGGCAAGCACAGGAGTATATATACGCAGATTAACAAGGCTAACAAGGGGGTGGAGCTAATGAATTGTCATGACAACTAATAGGGGTAACTGATTTTAGTTTTTAATGTTTTGATTATAATTTATTTAGACTAAATAGTATAATGTTTATTAATGTCATTTTAATATAATGTTTTTAACCATAGACTTTTAGAGACTGACCCAACCTCATCCTGATTTTCATTGCATAAAAAACACCAAATATTTCCACTGGTTTTCATGTAGGAAACACATAGAGAAATAGGAATATAAAGGGCTTTGTACACTCTAAGAAAAGTCCATTAAAATACAGGCCAATATACCGTGTTAATATGAAGGAATTTTCCATATGAATTTTTGTGTGTTTTTTTTTTTTTTTACCTGTATTTGAATTATGCATTGCATTGCATTGTGTTTAAGGGTTGTGCGTAAACTTAAGGCAAAACATACTGGTAATTTTCTGCCAGGACATTATCCGTTTTTCAGATTTTTTTCCGTACAGTGTAAGCATATATGAGATGGGCTTGTTAGGCCTTTTAATCACTTTTTTAGCATTTTGCTTCATTACACAGAACACTTTTTTCACTTAAAAATGTGAGACAATGTTGTGGAATGAAACAAATGCAAGGTTTAAGACAGCATGTCAAATTAAAACCAGTTAAACTTATAAAATATGCATCTTGAAAACCACTGTGCTCTGTTTTATTCTAGTCCTTTTTCGAAACCAAGAAAATGTCCTGTGTAAATGGTTCCTAAGAAAGATACTTTTTAAAGATATTTCAAGATATTTCAGTTCTTGTACTTGCATTTCTTGTCCGTTAATCTCATAGCACATCAGACGTATTAATAGCAACATGCCACACTCAGGACAAACAATCCTTCAGTAGACCACTCCAATCCGATACAAATGGAAACCATAAGCGGGCTAATGTGTTGCATATTTGTGGGTGTGGGTTTCTGTGCATGTGGTAAGGTCCTGACCATTTCCTGTCATGAAAGCTTGACAGAGAGGGTTCAAGCACCAATATACACACAGAAATGCTATAGAAAAACCCAGAGAAACCACTGGAGCCATGAGAAGGGTCAGTACTTACTGGCAACACCAGCCATCTGTATATTTTGCTTTACACACTTGTTGCTTAAATGAGTTTCATCTACTATACTAATAGCATTATGATACTTGAATTCAGCTCTGTTTAAACATCTGCCCAGTTCTAGTAGTTCCTAAAAGAAGACCTGTTATTATGGTAAATCTGGGTTGAAATACTATTATTTAGAGAGGAAAAGTCTATGGAGAAACCAATTCGTAAATGTAAATGGTGTGTTGAATGGCTCACTCTCCCATTGCCTATGTTTTCTTCATAAGGAATTCATTAAACTAGAAAAGCATATAGCCAGGAGCATGAAACTGGCATGAAAGTATTTGGACCATGACTTGAGGGAAACCTAAGTAAGACCAGACATTTCTTGGAATTACCACTTCAAAACTGAAGTGTTGGGTCTCTATGACGCATTTTGACCAAGGTTGAGATTGTGGACCCACAGATTCTTTAATCAGCTGTAATGAACAATGCTTGGGAGATCTTTTCCTTCAGAGACCAATAACGTCAGTACATGAGCAGAGTAATTCTGCCTTCACTTTGGGACTAAAATCAGTAGTCAGTGAGAGAGAGAGAAAAAACCTGTCCTGTTTTCAAATTGTTAATGTATTGTCACGCTCTAAACCAGGATTCCTCGAATCCAGCCCTGCAAGAGTTCAGCTTCAACCCTAATCAAAGTCACCTCAGCAAGCTAATCAAAGTCTTCAAAGTTACTAGAAAATTACAGGTAGGTGAGTTTAATCAGGGTTTGAGTTAAACCCAGGGCTGTAGACTGATGTCTTTGACAGTTACCCTTTGTCGCGACAAGCAACTTTGGCAGCGTGACGTTAACTAAAGAGTCTATGTCATGTAAAATAAATTGAGCTGGATAATGACAGTTGTCTTCTGCAGAGCTGCTTTAGCAGAATCAAATTCATTTTATAATTGATGAACATTTTATAATTGGTGAATATCAACACTCTTATTAAACTGAATTGACTTGAGCTGAATATCAACACGTCTTGAAAAGGCGAGTATGTGCGATACACTAAAAGCATCAAAAACACTTGTATTTACAAGAAAAGAAAACTGTATATGTCTTTACAGACATAAATGGAATTCTTTTAGCTTTTACTTGTGTTTGAAGTAGCACTCAGTATTGAAGCACAGGGAAATGCTAGTCTTTAGCACTTATGCCTCAAAGGCCAGGAAGTCTTGCAGACGTTTGTTTTTTCATCATATTAAACTGGGCTGAGAAAGGGCAACAGTTAATTATTTATCAACATGGGTGTAATTTAAACCAGAATGTGGTCTTCGGAGCTCAAAGAAAGGCCTGCATCTGTTGTTGCTATTCTATGAATGCTTTGAACTTAACAATCTGCCAGAGGAGTGTGCGAATATGGCACACTATCTAATATTGTGTTAATTCTGAAACTATCAGAATAGCACATAGATAATACAAAGCACACTCCCACTTAGGGGTGTGCGATAATGACAAAAAATGATATCTCGCTATTTTCTGGAATTTTGTCGATAACAATAATTAGACAACATTTTGCTGAACAAGTTACTGTGCTGGTACTTTGACAGGTTTAGGACTGCCATGGATAGCTGACTCCCAAAGATTTTGATATTCATCATATTCTGTGCGGTGGTTAGTTTGCAGGAGTAACAGAAATGAACTTTTCCAATAAGTTTAAATTGATTTTTACCTTTTATGGGCATTTTTACCTTTATAATTTTTCTAACCGAATTAAATATATGCATCATCTTTTGTGTCAAATTCTTAAATTTAATCAGTAAATTCAAATAGTAAGACGCTATAGGGCTGTGTAGCCTGTTACCAATCAAATGAAATCAGTATCAACAAAATTTGTGTTTGCAATGCAGAGGTGGCACAGAATCTGCATCTGAAGTGGCATTTAGATGCATTTATTCAGACTGTTTAATGCAGGAAATGAATGCATTTAACCTGCAGTTACAAATGCATAAACAATGTTTTGATGTTTTAAAAACAAAACAAAATATACTTTAAATATAAACCTAAAATTGCCAGTAGGTGGCGGCAAATCACTGCACGAGTGAGTCATTGAGTCATTCATTCAACCGATTCATTCAAACGGCTGATTGGTTCAGTAAGAGACACAAAATAGTTCTTTGGCTTTGTTTGAAACTATTTTCGTTGACAAAATAGAGAAAAAACAGGAACTTGTGTCTAAAATGTAAGTCAATTAATATTAACTTGTTTATTGGAATGTTTTATAAAATCAATATCACATTTATCACATATCAAAAATCACACATATCACAAATATCACATTACCGATATTTGGAGAAAAAACTACTCTTCATGTGATATTAACAATATCAGATGATATAAAAGACATATAAAAGTCATATGGGGGCATATTTGTCCCCTTATCTTGAATTTTTTGGGGAATTCTAAATGTATTTTAATATACTAAATTATGCAGTGAAAGTGTGAACTCTAAATGTGCTCGAGCAGTAATGTAGCCTTGTATGCGTGCACATCCCTGGACCCTGTTCCCCAGACCTATCAGGACTCGAGCTTTCGATGTTGCTGCATGTTCAGCTCCTGCATCTACAGCCAAAGTCCCTCACAGCCCAGAGAAGAGGAATAAAAATTATAATAAACTATCTATATTATGAAATAATCAAGTACTTTTTAGAAATTGTATTAATCGGCTATCCCCTCAAACGATTCTTTAAAGGAGTGGTTCATTGCGATTTCACTTTTTTAACGGTAGTTAGTGTGTAATGTTGCTTGGAATAAAGGTAAATTATGTGAAAAATAATGAGTTTTTAAAAAAAAGAAGCATTAACACATGTTAGACTGCACCCCATAAACCCCATAAATCAAGCCTAGAAAAAAAACACTGAACCACCCCTTTAATGTTAATTGCTGTTCACCTTTCTCCTTAAGTTCGTCAATTAGTATACTTATTTCCTCTGTATATCTATTACACTAAAAAAGAATACAATCTTCCTTCCTTCTCCCTCTTGAATTCCTTCTTCTACCTACCATTTGTTGTATTAAATGTAGATGCCTGCCCTTTCGCTCATTATCCCAATAAGATTGCCCATTTTTATTTATCTCCCTTTTTATTATTGATTTGAGTTCTGCTTTACTATACAGAATTTGCATATCTATGTTTTCCTTTGCCATCATTTGTTTTACTAATTTGTCTGCTTCCTCATTTCCTGCCACTCCAGTATGTGCTGGAACCCACAAAACGGAACTATCTTATTTGTCTGTTGCAACATATATAATATCAGAATTATCTCCAAGACAATATCTTGTCTAGTTTCTGACTGTTGAGCATCCAGGCATAATAAGGCTGAACTTGAATCTGAGCATATTAGAGTTTTGTTTAGTCCCATTTCAATTATTTTATTCATTGCTATCATAATTGCTAGCAACTCTCCTGTAAACACTGAAACATGATTTGATATTCTTTTCCCTCCTGACTCTTTCAACCTTGGGATGATGTACGCTACCCCCACCTGGCCATTCTGTGGATCCTTACTAAATGTTCAATAGTGATACACAAAATGTTCAATAGTGATATACTTAGTGTAAATATACTTTAAATATAAACCTAAAACTGCCAGTAGGTGGCGGCAAATCACTGCACGAGTGAGTCATTGAGTCATTCATTCAACCGATTCATTCAAACGGCTGATTGGTTCAGTAAGAGACACAAAATAGTTCTTTGGCTTTGTTTGAAACTATTTTCGTTGACAAAATAGAGAAAAAACAGGAACTTGTGTCTAAAATGTAAGTCAATTAATATTAACTTGTTTATTGGAATGTTTTATAAAATCAATATCACATTTATCACATATCAAAAATCACACATATCACAAATATCACATTACCGATATTTGGAGAAAAAACTACTCTTCATGTGATATTAACAATATCAGATGATATAAAAGACATATAAAAGTCATATGGGGGCATATTTGTCCCCTTATCTTGAATTTTTTGGCATTGCTATCATAATTGCTAGCAACTCTCCTGTAAACACTGAAACATGATTTGATATTCTTTTCCCTCCTGACTCTTTCAACCTTGGGATGATGTACGCTACCCCCACCTGGCCATTCTGTGGATCCTTAGATGTGTCTGTAAAAACTTATATTTACTGTATATATTGTTCATATTTAGTTCCAATATATTCTTTTGTCAGCTCTAGCTCTAATAAATTCATTTTATTAGATCCATTCCCAGTTCGATTTCCTCAAGATCTAGTATTCATATTTTTTGTATTGTTTGAATTATCTTCCATGGTCCTCTAGCAGCATCCCTCCCTCAGCCCTCTGTTACCCAATATCACATTTATCACATATCAAAAATCACACATATCACAAATATCACATTACCGATATTTGGAGAAAAAACTACTCTTCATGTGATATTAACAATATCAGATGATATAAAAGACATATAAAAGTCATATGGGGGCATATTTGTCCCCTTATCTTGAATTTTTTTGGGAATTCTAAATGTATTTTAATATACTAAATTATGCAGTGAAAGTGTGAACTCTAAATGTGCTCGCGCAGTAATGTAGCCTTGTATGCGTGCTACCCCCACCTGGCCATTCTGTGGATCCTTAGATGTGTCTGTAAAAACTTATATTTACTGTATATATTGTTCATATTTAGTTCCAATATATTCTTTTGTCAGCTCTAGCTCTAATAAATTCATTTTATTAGATCCATTCCCAGTTCGATTTCCTCAAGATCTAGTATTCATATTTTTTGTATTGTTTGAATTATCTTCCATGGTCCTCTAGCAGCATCCCTCCCTCAGCCCTCTGTTACCCTTGTAGTCCTGCCTACTCCCACTACCTTTGAACAGACTCTCTGTTTGTATGGAGGATTTTGATATCAAGACCCTTACGTTTGATCGCTTGCCTTATCAGAAGTTGTTTCTTCTTTGAGGCAAAGCATGCCATGAGAATCTAATTTTCTTGAGTAATAATGCTTATCTGTCTCAACAGTACTTAGTAGCACAAATGTAATCTTTTAATATAGAGTGTGGAAAGCTTAAAATCAAGTGAAATTGTGCAAATTATGTCAAACAGTCCAAAACAACTGTCCTCCAGATTGTCCCGCCACCCAAAATTAAACAATTGGTTGAGCCAAACAGAGTAATATTAAAAGTGCCACATTGTTTACGCTCTTCAGGACTGGATGAGAAAGTTTCAACATTTTAAAATGACTCACAGCACATTTAAGGTCCTGCACAAATTAGGCTGACATTCCTCTGAGTTACCGCAGCACAGGCTGTCAGAGTATGTCTAACTGAAGGTTACTTGGAGCCATCTGATTCATCCAGGTCATATGGCGCTTCACGAGTGGATGAGTAGAGCTATGCTTTATACACCTTACATTTGACATTCCAGATCAGAAAGCTGAATTCAGCCAAATGAACCCATTAACTTCAAGTCAGCAAGAAAAACCTGCTCGAACAATGAAAACCCCTCCGGGAATCTCACAGGAATCACATTTAGGATGTAGTGCTATAGTCTTAAATCGTACAGTAAGACATTATTTTACCTAATGAATGTATAATGTATATGGTAAAATGGTTTGTCTAAAATGATCCATCATTGTTTAAATGTAGTCAGTTCAACTTAGTTGTGTTGCTTGAACAAGATGTCAAA